TAGCTCTACAACAGTATTAAATCACCACATCCTACCACTCTGTGCTTTTGTTTATCTCATGTCTCCTATCATACTCCTAAATGTATTTTTAAGAGCAAACAACCAAGACAACCCGCAACCATCATAAAGAGGAACTTTCTAAACCCAAGAATATCATCTCAAACATATCTCCTAGAAAACTAAAGCAGCAAAGCTACAGATAGATTAACTAATATTCTTCGAGACAATGCTTGAAGAGTTTGTAGTGCGACTAACAAGAAACACCACCCTTCCTGCATCCGGAACACGGATTATTAAAGAGGAAGGCTATTTCAAGTTTATAAACCAATTTATTGCGACAATTGACTCACTGTGGTCTTCGTAGAGCATCCCTGTCAAACACAACACGACCTCTAAATATCTCTCTCAGCTCTCCCCTGCCCAGAGTCTTTACCTTTTCTCCAACCTCCAAAATGCTATTGCCTCTTAAATCCAATAATTGCAATGAATCTGGCAACTCTCTTATGGTGTTTGGTAGTGTGCTGAGCTTGTTACAACTGAGATCCAATATTTTTAGATTTTCCAGCTTTCCTATTTCAGGTGGTAATGACTTTAGCTTATTACTATTGAGATGCAGTTCCTGTAGATTCTCTAACTTTCCTATCTCAGATGGTAATAATTCAAATTCATTACCATCAAAAAACAGGTACTGTAGATTCCTCAACTCTCCTATTATATTTGGAAATATTTCAAATTCATTATTCCGAAGATTCAGTTCTCGTAGATTCCTCAGCTCTCCTATCTCAGGTGGTAGTGTCTTGAGCTTGTTGCCACCGAGGCTCAGACTTTCTAGCTTCACAAATCTCTTAATATTGCAGTCAATAGATGTAATGCCTTGGAAAGGTATAGATATGTCAGTCTCCCCCTCAGAATGCTTTTCAAAACTATAGTGCAAAGAGCGCACTGTTTGTCCCCCTGCTCCAGAACCTTCAAGTGGTTTGGGATCTTGAACGCTCTCAGGATTTGTGACATTTCCAGAGCTCTGGAGTGTAGCTCCAATGAGTACAACTAGACCGCAGATGACTTTGTATGCCTTTTTTGTTCGTATAATATTCATTAAGGATCATGAGCTGAAAATTTTT